AGACCTGTAAATTCCAGTAATGCCATGCAATAGTAAGAGCATCATTAATACTTGACAAAACTATACAGGTTTACCAAGGTGAAACGTGTATTTAAACAGGGACTAACAAACAGAAGAAAATAGCGAAATAGCAGAATGCCTCACCTTCCTAGGGTTGCGTTTTCGACGGTCCGTTCGTTTTTCACTGGTGTGTGTCAAGTCACACTACTGAGTTCACATTTGAACCCCACTATCAACTCCCTGCAATCGTGGAAAGTACATCTATCATCTACGAGGGCAGTTACCTTGTATGTGGCACTTCCCTTGGTTGATCTGAATATCTTTAACTAGGGCTCTATAGCGATAAGATGATTTGGCCTTTGGGGTTTTCATTAGCCCTTACCCTGGGCGACTGTTCGCCCTTGAGACGTTCAAAGCGCCGCTCATCACGAGAGCGGTCCAAGGGTAAATTTCAGTTTAGCCGCAGCGCAAGCCAATCTAGCCTTCCATCCTTCCGGGATCAGTTGCTCGGTAACACAATCTAGAAGAATTGAAACATCAGCTCATTCGTCGACTAGTTGTGTAAGTCATTATATAGGCCACTTTCAACTGCGATTTTGGATTGAAATGTAATGCGTGGCGCATCCTAAAGAGGGGCGGGTCAACGCCGGATACTTCATCCTGCCCAGTTCGGCTTGATGGGGGGCACCAAATGGTACTCAGCAAAATTTGTACGGGCCACCTTGTGAAGACCTGCAAATTCTTGTGACCAAAGTGGCTTACTAGTGCATTTCGCAGCTTCGCAAGATCTCACAGCTATCGCCAAAAAGAGACCTTTCAGCTGAACTGACAAAAGGAACTGGCGACCAGCGAAATGTCCCCCTCCCCCTTCGTTTTCGCTCGTCGTAACCGAATAGCGCCGTTTTGTCCTATATCGATGCCAAGAATTGAAGGAAGGAAATTGAAGAAGCTCACACTGGATTGAATCCGGTTATTCTATTCTCCAGAATGAAAATCGTACTTATCTACGGCGTTCTATAATTCTGCAGAGGTCCATTCGGAAACAAGGCGCGTCGTACATTGGGCATACCTAGCAACGGGAGGGGTCTTATTTGGTCGCTGGAAGGAAGAGGAAGGATCGTATTTACCTTCGAGCTGACTGGGCTGCTGACTTTTCACGGTTTTTGCCCTGTTTCAAACGTGCTATATGTATAAATACACTCCCTTCGTCTTCCCCCTCCCCCCCCTCCCCTCCTTTCTACAGCACCCATTCCGACAACAGTTTTCTGAGTGAAAGTGGAGAAATTTTTCAGAAAGCACTCCGAAAGCGGTAGGTAGGCAGACGGAATGGCGGGAAGTGCTAGGATAGGATGGGGAGGCGGCACCAAAGAGGGGAGTTTTGAAGAGGGGCGCATTTTGCAAAATTTTTTCCAACGGCAGGACGTGCCCTGTATGAATTGCTCAGTAGCTGCTCAGCTTTCACGCTTTCTTATCGTTTTATTTGGTTAGTCTGGGTAAATAGAATGGCTGCTGAATGGAGAAACTGGTAACTGCGGGATGTGATGACTGTGCATATGATTTATGTTAGTTTGAAAGGAGCCGAAATGAATTTGACTAAGAGAGAAATTGCTCTCCAAAATGTGTCCAACCCTATTTACACCAGCAGGTTCCACTCTTACTTAGAACGTCTTTTTTTTCTTAGCGTTTTTTCAAAGCTCGGCTCTCTGTCGGCCATTCACTCTCTCTCTCCCACCATCTCTTGTACTGATTGTGGTGGTTGGTAGGGGAAATTTGTCTCTAGATAACATGCCTAATGAGAGGAGTAGACGTTTTTTTCCATCAAGGAATCAAGAGCAGATACGTGATGAAACGTAAGCGAAACGGTCTTACTTGGTGCCATGGATACCCCTATAAAAGATCGTCCACACGCCATCAAATGTGCATCCGTAGACGATGTTAGTGGAAAAGCATGTCATCGGTTTCGCCACCATCTGCTCGATATTGGCCACAGGTGCATGCTTACTAGTGATCTCGTCGCTCTACGATGAGATTACCCAGGTCCATGATTTGGTGAGTCAGTCTGTTCCCTTCAGAAGTCCTCCTGGATCATACTGTAGCAGTTGGACTCCTCAGCTTGTGTTCAGGTCCTCGATGCAGTGGCCACATTCCGTGTGCAGACCGATTCGGCCTGGGTGGAGATGATGGACGTGCAGATCACCGTCACTCCGCCATCATTACCACGTCAGAATCCATTCAACTCGATCTTCCGTCAGAAGAAACAAGCTCTACCACCGTGGTGCATCTGCGAGCCTCCTCGAATCACTTGTCCGCCAGGACCACCTGGCCCACCTGGCATGCCCGGACAGCCTGGTAAGCTGCTTACCCTATACTGTTCCCACGATAGATCCTAATTAGCATCTTCTTTTAGGTAATCCTGGTCCCCCTGGGCCGCCAGGACGAGACGACATGACTATTTACGCTCCTATCCACTGCCCAGCTCCAGATCGTTCTTGCATCCGTTGTCCGCCTGGACCGCCAGGACCGCAAGGACCCGATGGAAATATGGGACAGCCAGGAATTGACGGCAGACCTGGAGCTCCTGGACAACGTGGTGAGAACGGTCAGCCTGGTCCAATGGGAGAACCTGGAGACCAAGGCCAGCCTGGTCATCCAGGAATGGATGGCAGACCCGGACCACCTGGTCAAGATGGACGAAAAGGCACTGGTGGCCCAGGTATGCCTGGACATCCAGGACCCCGTGGAGAGATGGGAGCACCCGGAGCTCCTGGTAACCCCGGTGCACCTGGTATGCCAGGACCGATGGGTCCACCAGGTCAGAACGGTATGCCAGGAAACCGTGGAAACGACGGTCATCCTGGAACCAATGGTATGCCTGGAGCTCCTGGCAAAGACTCCACATACTGCCCCTGTCCACGACGAAGCAGCCGTACCAAGAAGAAGAAGGCTTAAATTGTCGACCACGACGACATTCTGCATATCTCTGCATAAAGCTTTCCAAGCTAATTTTGTTGATTTTGTCAAGTTATGACGTCATCAAAGTAGCAGTTGTTCCCGAACGGGGACTGCAGTTGTTCTTACTGAACTTGCAAAGGGAAAAGGTCATCGAGTTGACAATAGAGTGGAACCGCTAAAAATCGCTCCGCTCGCATTTTGTGGCATTGACACGTTCCCATTTAGTACAGTGTAGGTAACTGAAGAACTGGTTCACATGAAGTGAAACCCGAATGTCACACAAAAAATTGATACGATTTGTCAAATGTTCCCAAAAGGCCATTTGAGACGGTGAAACGGGTGTAACGTAAAGAAATGAAACATATTCCTCATTACTATGAAAGATAAATGGGAAGTGAAAGTAGTGAATGATTCATTGGCCCATACATAATTTGTCAATTTATGTTAAAAATTAAGCCACAGTTCGGCTTAGTGGGGGCATCATGTGTTCTTCAACGAAGCATTTACAGGCTACCTTGTGAAGACCCGTAAAGTCCTGCTGGTAAATTGGCTCACATGTGCTTCACAAGAGTTTACAAGTCTGACCAAAAACCTGTTAGTTAACATAAATGACAGCTAGCAAGTGTGCAAAATGCCCCTTCCCAGCCGAACAGCGCCGAAAATTAATAGTACGTGATCAAATCAACATTAATCCATCAATTCAAATCAACACTGATCCATTCAAAATACGCCATGCATTCGACTTCCAGTCGGAGATCTAGTGACTCGTGCCAGCTGGCCTTCGCAATAAACTCTGGGAGCCAGCTGATGTTGTTCAGGTCAATGTTATCCTTCCAAATGGGTTTGTTACCGCCCAAGAAGGATGAAAGGGCGCAGTCGGGTTCGTGGGGGTACCAAACGGTACCTTGCGAAGCAGGTTGCCTCGCGAAGACCTGTAAGTTCTTGTCACATGTCTAAACGTCAGAGGCCCACTTCTACCATTTCGTACCTTCACAGGAGTTTACAGGTCCCACCAAAACGTAACCTGGCAATTAACATAGACTAGCAGTAGAAACTAGCAAAAGTGCGAAATGCCCCTCCCAAACCGAACAGCGCCTGATGGAAAAATTGGTTAGCCGGAGCAGAGCCAAATTCGGATGGGGTAATGCTGACACATTTCTGTATCCCATTTCTCAGGTTTTGTCAGTGAATGAAAAATTTATTCAATTACGTAATAATAATCTTCTTCTTCAGCGTTTGTCCTGCTCGATGGCGATTTCCGCTCCATGTAATAATAATAATAATAATAATAATAATAATAATAATAATAATAATAATAATAATAATAATAATAATAATAATAATAATAATAATAATAATAATAATAATAATAATAATAATAATAATAATAATAATAATAATAATAATAATAATAATAATAATAATAATAATAATAGAACAAAGATGGTGAAGTAGCAACTGGGGCGGCTCGCCAAGTGTTCGGTCCGGAGGTCAAATTCCACAGTTTCTCGTTCGGACCAGCCGAGCCTTCTGTACCTTCACGGCAAGCGAATAAGTGGCAGAATCGTTTGGGTTTATAAAAAGACAGATTAAAACAGCAGCTGGTACCCGAAACTTCATTGTATAGGCCAAACTTGTTTCCCAGGAGGTACGGGTCAGGGGAATCTTAGTTGGGAAGATACGCAGAAAGAAATCCGCCGTGAGCACTACTATTCAGGCGTTGTTCGGTTTGGGAAGGGCATTTTGCACTTTCGCAAGTTACTTTTTGCCAAATTGCTCGTTACACCTTGGTAAGAAGACCCATAGACTCTTGTCAAGTGTAGCTCTGCGGGATTTTACCAGTCTCCACAGCAGGCATTGGCAATGATCGATTGGACCCGGAAAATACTCCTCCAAGCCGACAAGAGTTGATTTTTCTCATTTCACTCGCTTTATATACAGTTGTCCAGTCTAGCTATCGCCACAGTCCGGTAAGGCTAGAAGGCGGGGAGAAGGCCCAACACGACTGCTTTTTCTACCAATGGTGGCCGGTTCAGATAGAAAACAACCAATGCTGGAAAACGCTGCGGGTTGGCTCATTCAACACCTTCTGACACCGCCCCACCGGGCTGTGACGATACCAGCTGTACCTCCTTCCTAGTTGGCGGGGAGCGACAAAACTACTATTTGTCATAGACGATCGGAAGTGTCAACCCCCACCTCTAAACTTCCCCTACTTTCCCTTCCCCTCGATGGCAGATTTTTGAAAAATTCAGTAATTTTGACAGTAATGGATAGGTTGTGAGAGGGAGTCGTAGTGAAACCTTTCGCTGTAGGCGGGGTTTTACTGACACTGCCATTTCGCATCTCAATGTGACACTCTGCCCATATTGCAACGTTTTTTTCACAGTGTTGCCGCATCGCGGACTAACTGACCCACACCCTTGCCCAGGCTGTGGTGTGTGAAATCCCTTTGCACTTGTGATTCAATAAGCGCGAAGATTTCAGCGCACCCTCGGTCGAGCAGATCTTCTTGTGTTTTGAAATGTATAATGGTAAAGCTTTGAATTTGCGCGGAACAACGAACTAAGCTAGGCGCTAACAGCCTTGGGGGGAAGGGGTATTTGGGCGATTTTTAAGGACTCCTTGGGTAAAACAAGAACTACCATGATGGAAATAAGAACTTTCGACTTACGGTAGGCCTAAAAGAGACAAGGAACTCTGTGGTGGAGAATTTTTCTATGTGGATGACTTTCAATCCAGTCATGCTTAGTTGCCCCAGGACACGCCATCGCGTTGTGATCATTTCCTGAAAAATACGACCCCCTAATTCCTATCCTCAAATACGACCCCCCTCCCCATGCTACCTACCACTTTCCTAGATTTTCCCAACTTCCTACCACTTTTTTCCAAATTTCCAGTTTTTCAGCCAAGAATTTTCCATCGAGCGGGGGAGGGAGGGGGGGAGGTCGTCAGGATTTAACTATCATTTTCAACTATCGGAAATAGTAGTTGTATAGATCTTTGGCAGTCCCTCTCAACAACGGCCAAATACGACCCCCTATACCGTCCGTGAAACAAGAGAAATCAACTACCAAAAAAATTTTCTCAGACCAAATACGACCCCCTCCCTCGCGGTCAAATACGACCCCCCCCCGTTGTGATCATCACAACGATGGCGTGCCCTGGTTTTACCCCTCCAGAGTTATTGGCTCCTGAACACTGTATTATTAAAAACAGTTTTCCTTTCACTTATTTGGGCTCCTGTAACTACTTTCCTGAATTTGAAAGGAATTTGAGAGCACATAAAAGAGAAAAGAGACGAGGAAGTTTTTTCGGAGGGGGCGGGGGCGAAAATTGTTTCTAGTGATGAGCAGCTGGTAGAGTATCTAGAAAGGAATCAGAGCTGCAATGTTGTAGGTTCAAATTCATATGTAACCCCTATTCACTTTTGCTACTACGCCAAAAACATTACGTTAGCTCGCAACGCGTTGGCACAAATTAAAGTACATGCACTCCATGTCCCGAAAGGTGGGGGGGGGGGAGGTGCGCAGTCTTCATTTGGACGCGACGACGGTTGTGCTGCTGGTCGGATTTTCCATTTTGAGTCAGCTGGTGGCAGATGGCAGGCAGATGCTTGAATCTTGCCACGCCCTCTCCACCTCCAGGATGAAGAGAGAGATTGCAGGTCCCGAAGCTGGGGCTCATTCCGTGACACTGAAAGAAAACGCGTTACTCAGCATTCCGACAACCGCTTCTAGCACGACACACGTATGCATTCTCCAAATTGCACTTGACCGTATGTTCTCATTTACTTTTGCTACTTTTCTAGAAAGTCTGGACAGTCGGTTGGGGGAGGAGGGGAGGGGCATAAGTGGAAATTTAGAAGTGTATGCTACACTAGATGCGACAACAGTCACTGTTCTACTGAAAAGAAATCCAGCAAGCCTTCAATAGAGGCTGAGGAAAAGTGTTACTCACGGATTTTCGATGACTGACTTTACTATTTACGCAACTGTGGCCACCTTGTAAATAAATAGTTCACCATTGTCTATGCAGCGTTCTTGAGACCGGATTCTGGCCATGCCCAGCCTCCCTGAAACGCCCCCCAATGTCCGCAGTTAAGCCCCCAGTGTCCGTAGTAAACAAGACCCAGCTACTTTACGCAGTAGTTTCATACACCATAGCTCCTTCATGTTCAGTTCAAACAGCCCTCGACCTTATTTCGCTTTAAAAATCGCTGTACCATCTTCGAGGATCCTTATTCATGTGCAGGGGTAGATTGGTCCATTGTTGTATAAGCGCACCATTTTCGTCACTTGGAATTGCGCTAGTTGAAGCTGAAGGGTATCGGTAGCCAGATGTCTCCTCTACCCATCACAAAACGAAGTAGCCAGACCGCAACGTGCCGCACAATCAGGCGGCCGCGCTACCTGTCTGCGCCCTCTCGCATCTGATCGACTTCCACATATGGCCGCGATCGGCAGCTTGCCATCATGTTCTTCGCTATGGGACCTCGGAATCGGCGCAAATGCCCCACGTTGTGGATAGCGAGTGGAGCCCAAAACGGCATCCAGCTCCTTCACCATCCTCTATCGCTTGGGCCCGCCCCCGTTCACATCGCTTCAGAGCGGCACTTTCGAAGGAAAAAGATGCGCACGGCTTCCAACCTGCATGCGGTTCCTAACTCATTTCCTGGCACGTGCGGGAAGCCACCTTGCAGGGGACGTAAAGCGTATTCTCAAAGTCTCCAATTTTGAAGAACTAAACAAAGGCTTTTCCAGTCATGCCGTCCTAATATAAATCTTCTTTTTCTATTTTGAACTCAGCTGCTTTCTTGAACTTGAATGGTACCGAAGAAACTTAACGGTGACGAGGACGCTCGACACACAGAGGCGACAATGGCGACTGGTTTGGTGACGGCAGAGGCGACATTTTGCACATTTAGCGATTTCTCCATTTGATGCTGTCAACCCATCTAAACAGCGGTCTTTTACCATGATGGCTTGACGAGCTTG